AGATTATCTATTGACCTTAATGTGAACCCCGGTGTTTTGCGAAAGCCTGTTTTTAAAGACACTTATAATTTGACACGTTCTTAGAAAAGAAATCAGAGATCGTCATAAAACGTGACGAGAATAATCTCGAGTTTTATTTCATCATTGATGACGTAAATCACGACTGGTATGTTTGGAGTGCATTCAGCAATACGTCAAACTTAACATTTGTCTCTATTTGATAAAAATTCTAAGATTGACTGAATTGTAAAGATGCAGATCCAAATAGATGTGTTATAAACACTGCACAAGATTTTACTATTTGCTGTTTGTTTGCCTTCTAGATGTCTAAGACCTTTGCAAACAAAATCTGAAATCCCTCTTTTGTTTCTTCGAAATGGGTATACACAATTAAAATTAATATTAATATGTATGAATGATTTAAATTGTAGATTAGGTAAGGCATTCATTGGTTTTAATGTGAGATAAAATCATATTTCACTGAGTGAACATTACAATCACAATGAAAATATATAATAGTTGGTGAAATATGATGTAATTTGTGAAATGTTTCATAAGCACCGGAAGTATTGTTAGCAATCTACTAGCCTATACCAATTACTGGTAATTTATTAATTTAAAATAATGTAAAAAGATAACCAAACTTACAACATAGTATCTTTCGAATAAAACAAAAATGAATTGGTTGACACTCCCATGAATGAAAACACTATCGGACGAAAATAGAAACTGTTTAAGTAAGTCAATTATTGTTCACGTCAGATTTTATCTGGCTGTCATTGTTCTCCCTATTGTCATAAATCTTCTATTCTGTGAAACAGCTACTTATTTAAGAGAAAATAAAAACACATAAAAACAAATCTCTCCGAGAAACATACATTGATTTGAATTAAAATCTATGAAATTAAAGAAAACATCAACAAACCGTAACAACAGAAAACACAAGATGGAAAACGGTCAATTAGTAGTGATAAAATAGTGGATTATACTTTCATTGCTTTATAGCAGATTTAATTAAATAGGTATCATTAAATGAATGTTTGTAAGAGAAAGTTTTTGTGCTTTAGGCAAGTTGTTTAATGAAGAATTTTGGTTCTTTACAACTGATAACAACGGGGCTAAGTGTTGGAGCAGACAGAATAACGCCCTGTTAGGTAATTCTCGCTTTTTTCAGTAGTAATTTAATTACAAAAAGAGAGATTTATCCTTTTCAGATTGATATGTGAAACGTAGAAGAAGCGACCAAGATGACGTAATTGTAATACTAGTATCAAGTGTACCAATGTTTTATTATCAAGCAGCATCTTACATCTTAACCTTTAACCTGCTGGTGGCAATTTATTCTGTCCTTGCGAACACTGCAGACCAAGGTCAGCTGGCATATACATACCGTTTGATCATTGCCTGCGCTATTTAGACAATATATATTTTCTAACTTTCCTTGAAGATAATAAATGGCTTTGTCCAGAATTACCGAGGAGAAAGTCAATTTATGAGATTTTTCGCAATAATACCTTGAAGGCATTTGGTTTTTATCCAGCACAATGGTGTTCAAATATATGAATTTCTTTACTAAAAACGTACGCCAATTTTCATATGAATTTTAAAACATTTATTAAAGCACTAAATTGCACCGGAATGATACGAAATTTAAATATTAAATATATCATTAAATTTGCTTGGATTCCATGCCCCCAAAAAAGCAAGCTTTTCCTAGTAATTTTGAATAATTGATTAATATTTGAATTAGTATATTAAGCATCTGAATTTTTAAAATGTTTAAATATCAGCCTGACATGACCATGAACTTAAAATGGTCTATTACAACACATAAAATACTTGTCTAATTAATCAGCCGTTTGTTTCATATTGTGGATACTATTTAACAAATGTTTGTATTTGTATCATAGTTTCTAGAGCAAGGTAAGCAAATGATTTATTGCGTGATGATAATACCTATGCCATGTTTAAACTTTATCTCACTTAGGTTTTATAATTGACTGAAGTTACACGATCTATGGAATAACGATTAGTATTTTACTTAGTAATGTCTTTCTTCTATACTTCAAATGACACATTTTAAACATACAAAACATTGCATTGTTTGTAGAATGATAATGAAAACAAATGAAATGAGGTATCAAAAATAATATATCAAGTTAAGAGATTAATATTATGTTAATATCAATTAGTTCGTAGAAAGATGACGTTTATTTTATAAACTATTAATTGTCCAATAGGATTGCAGTATTTCAAATGAATCCTACATGTAACTCAAATCGGCAAACTATTCATCAGTTTGCGCCGTTTTTGATTTTGTAAATGCTTACTAATAATTATAAACACTAACTTATAACTTATACTCAATACATATGAAATGTGTGTTGTTGTTGTTTTTTTTTTTCTATTTTCTTAATATTAATCAGAAGTAGATTCATTTAAATAAATTTGAAATTAATATAAAATAAAGTGACAATGTATTTTACTGAATTATTCAAGGCAAATTGTAATTTTAACAATTATTCGGGGGGGGGGGGGGTATTTTTTTTATCAAGTTCTCATATTTTGCTAATACATGTATATAGATTCCTTAAGTTGAAAATAGTTGCATGGATAATTATCTTTCTCATTTTGTGTTTTTCAGGGATTTGTTTTAGAAATTTAGATAAAATAAAATAAATGTTTATTATTTCTATTGTTTTAATAGTTTAATTTTTTATTAATCTGCAAAAAAGTTGGTTAAATCTTACAGAAAATCCATACAGTGAAAATAACCGTCGAATTTCATTCAATAAATCTTATCCAAAAAAATTTATGTATTTCAGAAAATAATTACATCATAAAAAATATTTTTAGCATAATTTCCTGGTTGAGACGCTATTGCCGCTCCTTAGGACGAAAAACGATCGGGAACAAAAATAGAATCCATTAACGCGGCATTTGTAGAATAGTTCAGATAATATCTAATCGACATTGCCGTTAACAAGTCCATGAATCTCCTTTCTGGGAAACATGATTTCATTCTAGAAAAACGGTCAATTAAATCTTATTATAGGATTGAATTTAATGCTAGCAAATTTCATGAATCGTTAAATGAATAATAGTGTAATCGAATTCCATAAAAAAAATTGGTATTGTTTTCATTTCATTGCTTGGAAAATGTTAAAACCTTGTTTACACAAAGGTTAAAATATTTATACTGAAGAAATGTTTATTTTTTCTCAAGCAAAGGAATTTTGCTGTATTATAAGCCTGATTCGTTATAAAGATTATTATTTTTATTATTATACTGCACGTTTGTAAAGTCGCTTTTCATTGGATAACCGTTACGTTTAATATAGTTTTTTATAATTGTGCATCTTTGTAACTTCGATTTTCATTGGATAAACGTCACGTTTATATTATTTTATATACACGGCTGCTGTCGATTTATAAAGAAATCTCGCTTTATTCCTCTAAAAAATAGGCTTTCTGTATCATAAATTCGTTATAAATATTTCTGACAGGTTATATGATCCTATATAAACGGTTGTTTGCAATACAACCATTGCCTTACGACTTGGGCTATAGTTTCAAAAAACTGTTTATATAGGGCCATATAACATGTCAAAAATATGTATAACTTATAAAATAATCTAATGTGACCATCAATATATAAGTGTTTAAACATGGCCATATGAGTTGTCTAATGAAACTTAATTCACGGAACTTCCTTAATGTGACGTACTATTTGTCTTAGATTTAATGATGTTGATAACATTTTCGAATGTCTTACTTTCGGTAAATGTCGCTTCCATAAAATGCGGTTAATTTTTAAAAAGCATTTTCTTTTACTTCCTGTAAAACTGACAGACAATAGGAGATTGCCATATAAATTGCATCCCCCATATGAAATATTGTAGTCTGTTTCTATATTGTCTTCTCCTTCAAAGTTGTTTGCTACGCCATTAATTCAAGGTCAAGCATATCAAGTCCTTTTTTATAAACATACTTCAAGGAAAAATAATTTGACAACATGATGAGTGCAAACTCTTTTGTTTAAATGATTCACATGTGGCTGACAGTCAACTTGATCAATTTTCCATCAGAAATGCTACATGTAATTGCAGTATAATTCAATCTCTAATGGAACTCAATAAAGTCACAATGCGTATGGGAAATTATTAATATCGGAATGGTGTTTTTGATTTTTAGACTTGATCGTGTGCCTAGTTGGAAGCGGGGGAAAATGAATGAATTATTTGAAGATGCTTGAGGCAGCAGCTGGTTTTGAAATATGGCTACAATATTGTAATGGGGCTGATGAATTCACTCTGTAAACACATGTATCAAATTAATTTGTTCAGTGGTTCATTAATGAAAGATATAGTCGAGGTTTTTTCTTGCACAATATACATGGAGAATCAATAGCAAATCCATGCATATTTTCGTTAACAATATCGTTTTGAGACTGTTAAATATGGTAAAAATACACAATAAAAAAGAAACAGACGACTTCATTTATAAAAACAACCAGAAAAGAAGTGATGATCAACTGTAACAAAAGGGGATTACTTAAAAGGAATAAGCATAACAAATTGCTGGTTTCAGACGAAAATTATATCTGTCTAATATGTTTACTAGTAGGTAGTTGAATAATGTTATTGTTTTTCTTCTTGTATTCATAATTTCATAGATACATTTATAACTAGAAACCAACTTGTGTGGTGTAAAACAATCTCCTACACCTGATTTATTAGTCATCAATATATCATATCAATTCAGGTATTAGTTAGGTGTAAATGTGTTTTTCAAAACATACAAAGTCAATTTTCTTACATTTACCAGTCAGATATTCGGAATATCACGTTGTATGCAAGACGGTGTTGATTGAAGTTATGGAACTCTTGACCTCTCTCGACCAATAATTGCTCTTAGATCAACTGTATCGTATCTTAATGTAACAATAACATGCGCCTAACGTTCAAATGTTAAGCTTTACACATTTTCTTATCTTTCAGATTTGATCTAAAGTAAATATAGTGGTCTGCCACAAGTACAACAACGGCCCATGAAAACATTGAGTTCCTATCAATGAGGTAAATACAAGTTATTTCTGTTTGTTGTTGACATTGAATGAATCAAAGAAATATCAATTTAATTTGTTTGAAATTTAGAGAAAGAACCATTGCCACATGAAGCCGAAATATTTTTATTTAATTATTAGTTGATATTCTTTTTTATTATCTTAATAATAATGAATCTCGTGCAATTCCATGTCTTCTATAGAATGATATATTTGAATGCATTTATGAATAACCTACTTATTTACACATTAAAGTTCATGTATCTTGATTGATTAACTATTTTACGTGATCAATTATTGACTTTTTCGATTATATGTTTTTCGCTCAAATCCTTATCTATAAAATCTATGCATATATATGTATATTATGTCACACCGTCTCGAATATCGATTCATATATAAAAGCTATGCTAATATTCTATATTCGGTCAACTCGTTTTGAATATTAATTCATCTATATATAAGTTATGTTCATATGATATATTCTGTCACAACGTCTCAAATATTGATTCATATATAAAAGCTATGTTAATATTCTGTATTCTGTCCAACTCGTTTCGAATATTGATTCATCTATAAAAATAATGTTTTGTTAATAATCCCATCACGCCGTACGCTTGAATGATAAGTTTTGTAATAGGAGAACTCGTCTAGACCTTGCTATATCATAACTTAGTTTATAGATGGAGATCTCATTCCCATTGGTAGAGGCTACAGTTTCTCACAGACTGATGCCGTTAAACGAACTCTCTATAATTATTCTATTCCTAGAATGATAAAGATCAAACATTATTCTATCAAGGATAAGAGTTAATGAACCAACGTTTATTGACAATGATTCCAAGTCGAATTCCAAGCACACTTTCGTTGACATTTTATGTTATATGATTATAAATAATACAACGGCGATAATAAAAAAACATGTTATAAGAGATTTAAATTTAATTTAATTCTAATGTTATATCAATAAATTAAGAAATGATAGACGTTAAGATACTGTAATATCTATTTTTAACATCCAAGTTCATTTGTGTTTTGTTTGTTCTGCTGCATTGTCAGTATTTACTCCTAATACATATATGTACTGTTATACTATATACTATACTTTCTATATTTTCCGTCTAAATCTTGAGATCCGCTAACATTTTGGAGTTAAAAAAAAATTACCGAACTTTCTTAAAGTCACATTAAGCTTGTATTTCCCAAATCCCTTTCATTTTTGGTGTCCTAGTTTCCAAAACCAATACACACTAGGGATAAATAAAGAAGATCCATCCTTTGCTTCTTTTGCATGTTGGCATTAAGTAAAGCTATATTGTTTTATTATTTTATATGGAAATGAAAATATCACTTCCTTTACATTTTTATCACAAACTATTTTACAATAGGTGCTCTTTTCTTTTTTTTGTTTACTCTTTGGAAAGACAAAACAGTATCCCATCCTGAGGCTTAATGTGCCTTCAACTCGCCCTTTATTGAACATAAAAGAGGAAAACAATAGTAGATAAGCACGATTTTACCACTGCCCAATTATGTATACAACCTTGTGCATTCTCCTTTCTTAATCAGTGATATTTTTGTAGCACAGCTTAGAATTTTGAAATTGTCCGATTAATTTTAATATTTGAAGAATTGTGAAATACTAAAATTGAGATAATAACATTATCATTTTCTTGTATGACAAAAATTAAAATAAGAATTTGCTTCCTTTTTGATAACATTTAAAATTTTAAAAAAAATCATAGCAATTTGAACAGTTTTATTTTTTTTAAATAATGAAAGTATTTTACGATATTTTGTTTGAAACATTCAATTGATTTTCAAAGTTTTTCAAACAGCTGTAAAACAGTTTGTGATGTTTTGCAAATGTCTCTCATATGCGATATGATTAAAAGGAGAACACTTAAAGATGACGTTTTTGGGATTCCTTTACATAATTGCAATATTTTTTATGACTGCAAATCATTTCAAGAAAAACATCAACATATTTAATTTAAAAGGTACACTCTAACACAATAAACCAATAAACATTTTTTTAAATCATTATGCATTTACTTGTACGCAGAAAATACAAATGAGTAAAATCTTATTAAGCATTCTACTCAAGCTCTGACGAATCAATTCTAGTTGTCGGTTTTACACAACTTAATTACGCGCTACAATGTAAAAACGGTTGATAATGTATTTATCTAGGAGCAAATGCGCACATAACAAGCGAATTTTTATAATCGTTTCCAACCATTAAACTGTGCTCTGATTACATTGTTTCAGAAATCGTTTGATATGTTTCATTTATTCAACATTCATTGTTTGATTTGCTCTTGACAATAAATGAAATGACTGGAATGAAATGTTGACTCTAGCGAGCAAAATCAGATCTTATGTTCAATCAGGCAAAAGTTACCATCGAGTAAACGTTCTCGTGAGGCTGTTCTACTGTTATACTATACACAGTTGTTTTTGTATGAAACATAATATGGAAATCTTTTCTTTGAAAATATCATCCGTTTCATCTTTGACAATATTATTGTTTAGCTAATAAATTTCATTTCGTCATTTGAAATTAGAAACTCAAGATCTTGTAAACCTTTTAAATGTTTTTTTTTAGATATTTAAATCAATTAACACAAGTTTACTTTTGCAACACTTCATTCCCGTGACAAAACACAAGTTTACTTTCGCAACATTTCATTCCCGTGACAAAACACAAGTTTACTTTCGCAACATTTCATTTCCGTGACTAAACACAAGTTTACTTTTGCAACACTTCATTCCCGTGACAAAACACAAGTTTACGTGACAAAACAGAAGTTTACTTTCGCAACATTTCATTTCCGTGACTAAACACAAGTATACTTTTGCAACATTTCATTCCCGTGACAAAAAACAAGTTTACTTTTGCAACATTTCATACCCGTGACAAGAATCCAGGTTTTGCTTGATTGCTCATCTTGGTATGTTATAAATGTTTATCACTGCGATACCAGTTTTATTTTAAGACCAACTCCGATATATATATATTTAATGCCGAATGGAAAAAAAGACAAAACGACAAAATACAATAAAATAACATATTAATTTGTTTGTATGCTATATAACAACATTGTTGAAAATTGACTGTTAATAAAAGAACTGGGATATTTATTTAAAGATAAAAGGCTTAATGACAAATCTTTGTCTTAATTTCTTACGGAACAGAATTCATCATGTATTGAAGCGTTTCCTTTTGAAGTAGATGCGGCATGAGGTAACGCCCACGATCCTGTATCTTAGAATTCACGCCGACCTCAATCCTTTATTACACGTAGAACATGGCCAATAATCATGAAATATGACGTCTCCTCTGAATAGAAATTAAAAAATTGTCAAAGTAATGTGAGTTAAATTCTTATTTATATCAGTCAAAAACTCATTACAATGTCATCTTAAAGTATGAACTTCTCAAATGAGAGTTTTCTTAATGGATCTTTATGAAATTGTCATCATAAAATATTCCGAAGAATAAAAAAATCAAAAAGACTCTTGAGAATAAGATCAATTATCACTCAACACCACGTTTTTTAAGTCTCTTAGGTAACAGCGTTCGCAATAGTTCATGTTACAAATACTTGAGAGAACTATCCATTATTGAGCACAGTTGAAAATATTCTTACTGTACCTAATTGTACTTAACAATGCTTAATATAATCATGCTTCTGATATAGCGAGATTTCTTCTTGTCAATGAAAAGAAAGAGAGAAAGAGAAATTAAACACAGAAATGAACCGATTTGATACTTTTATAACCAGTATAAAACTCATTTGACGGTAAAGAATACTTACTTGTTGTTATTGTTTTTGTTTGTTTTTGTGGGTTTTTTGTTGTTGTTATTGTTGTTGTTGCTTTTTGTTGGTTTTTTTTTCCAGATTTAATCTTAAATTTTACATAGGTTTAAATACATATAAGTTAGTACACTGCTATTTGTTATTCATGTTTATTCCAACAAATTATCAATATATATTTCATAAAAAAGGAAGGCAAATATGTGGCAAATAGCAAAAAAGTTAAAGAGATCAAGAATGGCATTATAACTTATGATTATAATTTAGTCAAACATAAATAAGCGTTATTTTTTTTTCATTTATTAATGAATTAATCAAATACATCATGTGTTGACTAGTTTATATTTAACTTTTCCTCAAAACGTTGATCGCAAAATCAGTCTCAGAGGAGCAAAATAAGTTATATTGTAAAAGAGTGAACTTCTTAGATTTACTTTTTTGATGCGCAAAGCTTTACCACTCAAATTTTGAAACTGCATTACTGACAAACTTTCCGCATAAATAACACGATGCTTCGTTTCCCTTTTATCGAGCATTGATTAAATAAATAACGCAATGAACTGCTTTAAATATATTTCATGAAAGATTTAAAACCTTTCTTTATATTCAGCATCAATATCGTGAATGTTTGCCACTCCCCGACAAAAACCTTCTGAAGGCGGTTTGTAAATTGTTAATATAAAGTCAGGAGTTCAGATATAGTTACAATTAAATGATACATTATTTTCTGAAATATTCATAGATCATGTTTGCATGCATGGAATCATTATTTACTTACTGTCGTTTCATGCAATTGCTGGAGTCAGATTTCCACAAAGTTATATAACAATGACGCACATTACCATCCTAATCTTAATCAAAGCAAAGTAAAGGGAGATCTTTGAGTAAACACTATTTCATTATCTTATTACCAGTTAAAATACACCAAAACAACACATATTTCTTTAATTTTTACTAGTTTCGACTGTTGTCTTCATCAGAATAACGTACAAAGTATTTGACGTCACGTCCGTTAGGACGCCAACGTCACCGTGACAAATTTGCGCAAAAACGTGAATGTAAAGTAATTAACAAATACTATGTATTTTGTTCCGAAATACTTGAGAATAAAATACTATTTGTTAATTATTTTATTACTAGAATATACTGTAAGGTGTGGTTTTGATGAAAAACTAAGGACATCTTTAGAACG